AGAGAGAGACCGAGAGAGAGACCAGAGAGAGACCAGAGAGAGAGAGACCGAGAGAGAGACCAGAGAGAGCCAGAGAGAGAGACCAGAGAGAGACCAGAGAGAGACCAGAGAGAGACCAGAGAGAGACCAGAGAGAGACCAGAGAGAGACCAGAGAGAGACCAGAGAGAGACCAGAGAGAGAGAGACCAGAGAGAGACCAGAGAGAGAGAGAGAGACCAAGAGAGAAGAGAGAGACCAGAGAGAGACCAGAGAGAGACCAGAGAGAGACCAGAGAGAGACCAGAGAGAGAGACCAGAGAGAGACCAGAGAGAGACCAGAGAGAGACCAGAGAGAGACCAGAGAGAGACCAAGAGAGAGAGACCAGAGAGAGACCAGAGAGAGACCAGAGAGAGACCAGAGAGAGACCAGAGAGAGCCAGAGAGAGCCAGAGAGAGAGACCAGAGAGAGAGGCCAGAGAGCAGAGAGAGCCAGAGAGAGGCCAGAGAGAGGCCAGAGAGAGACCAGAGAGAGACCAGAGAGAGACCAGAGAGAGACCAGAGAGAGACCAGAGAGGAGACCAGAGAGAGAGACCAGAGAGAGACCAGAGAGAGACCAGAGAGAGACCAGAGAGAGACCAGAGAGAGAGACCAGAGAGAGACCAGAGAGAGACCAGAGAGAGACCAGAGAGAGACCAGAGAGAGACCAGAGAGAGAGCCAAGAGAGGCCAGAGAGAGAGACCAGAGAGAGACCAGAGAGAGACCAGAGAGAGACCAGAGAGAGACCAGAGAGAGACCAGAGAGAGAACAGAGAGAGACCAGAGAGAGACCAGCGAGGGACCAGAGAGGGACCAGAGAGGGACCAGAGAGGGACCAGAGAGAGACCAGAGAGAGACCAGAGAGAGGCCAGAGAGAGGCCAGAGAGAGACCAGAGAGAGACCAGAGAGAGACCAGAGAGAGACCAGAGAGAGACCAGAGAGAGAACAGAGAGAGACCAGAGAGAGACCAGCGAGGGACCAGAGAGGGACCAGAGAGGGACCAGAGAGGGACCAGAGAGGGACCAGAGAGAGACCAGAGAGTGTATGTTATTAGTAGCATGAGTTGGAACCCAACTTTTTATATTAGCCCTTACATATTGAGCATAATTGAGCTAACGGGTTAGCATTGTCCATTAACCCAAGTCTATACAGTCTGTTAGCATTAGCATCTGTATACAGTCTGTTAGCAGTAGCATCTGTATACAGTCTGTGTTAGCATTAGCATCTGTATACAGTCTGTGTTAGCACTAGCATCTGTATACAGTCTGTGTTAGCATTAGCATCTGTATACAGTGTGTTTGTTTGTTTGTTTTTATTCAGATCCCCATTAGCTACTGAAAGAAACAGTATATTCTTCCTGGGGTCTATATACTTCATGTCACATAATATAACATATAAAGGACAAAAATGAATGTACAAAAACAAATTATATATATACATACATATACACATATACATACACACACACATATATATATATATATATATATATATATATATATATATATATATATATATACAGACATACACATAGACATACACATATACACATAAACAGGCACACAAATACATATACATATACAAACATACATATTAGACACATAATGTGTGTTCGTAGTAAAATACTCATAAACAGAGCTTGGTCCTGGTGCGTGGGTGAGAGCACTTCTCCGTCGTGTGCCGTTGCTGCAGCCGCTGCCAGAGAAAACACTCAACACGAATAAATCTGCCTCCACGCTTCATCTGAACCAGAGTTTTACCCAAACTCACACTGTGCCAAAAAAGCTCTCAGATGTTTCCCTGACGCCGAGCTCCTGCACAGACCACTTTACTACAGATCTGAGCCTCACCACGGACCAGAGACTACAGCCCTGTTCCCACCATACTCAGACCATACTCCTGTTCCCACCATACTCAGACCATACTCCTGTTCCCACCATACTCAGACCATACTCCTGTTCCCACCATACTCAGACCATACTCCTGTTCCCACCATACTCAGACCATACTCCTGTTTCCACCATACTCAGACCATACTCCTGTTCCCACCATACTCAGACCATACTCCTGTCCCCACCATACTCAGACTATACTCCTGTACCCACCATACTCAGACTATACTCCTGTCTCCACCATACTCAGACTATACTCCTGTTCCCACCATACTCAGACTATACTCCTGTTCCCACCATACTCAGACCATACTCCTGTTCCCACCATACTCAGACCATACTCCTGTCCCCACCATACTCAGACTATACTCCTGTCTCCACCATACTCAGACTATACTCCTGTTCCCACCATACTCAGACTATACTCCTGTTCCCACCATACTCAGACCATACTCCTGTTTCCACCATACTCAGACCATACTCCTGTTCCCACCATACTCAGACCATACTCCTGTTCCCACCATACTCAGACTATACTCCTGTACCCACCATACTCAGACTATACTCCTGTCTCCACCATACTCAGACTATACTCCTGTTCCCACCATACTCAGACTATACTCCTGTTCCCACCATACTCGGACTATACTCCTGTTCCCACCATACTCGGACTATACTCCTGTTCCCACCATACTCAGACCATACTCCTGTTCCCACCATACTCAGACCATACTGCTGTTCCCACCATACTCGGACTATACTCCTGTTCCCACCATACTCAGACTATACTCCTGTTCCCACCATACTCAGACAATACTCCTGTTCCCACCATACTCAGACTATACTCCTGTTCCCACCATACTCAGACCATACTCCTGTTCCCACCATACTCAGACTATACTCCTGTTCCCACCATACTCAGACTATACTCCTGTTCCCACCATACTCAGACCATACTCCTGTTCCCACCACACTCAGACTATACTCCTGTTCCCACCATACTCAGACTATACTCCTGTTCCCACCATACTCAGACTATACTCCTGTTCCCACCACACTCAGACTATACTCCTGTTCCCACTATACTCAGACTATACTCCTGTTCCCACCATACTCAGACTATACTCCTGTTCCCACCATACTCAGACCATACTCCTGTTCCCACCATACTCAGACTATACTCCTGTTCCCACCATACTCAGACTATACTCCTGTTCCCACCACACTCAGACTATACTCCTGTTCCCACCATACTCAGACTATACTCCTGTTCCCACCATACTCAGACTATACTCCTGTTCCCACCATACTCAGACTATCTACCCTACCAAATCCTAACCTACCCTACCATAGTCTACTCTACTCTACTCCACCCTATTCTCCTGTACTCTACTCCACTCTACTCTACTTTACTACACTCTAATCCACTCTACTCTACTTTACTACACTCTAATCCACTCTACTCTACTTTACTACACTCTACTCTACTCTACTCCACCCTACTCTCCTGTACTCTACTACACTCTACCCTTCACTACCCTACTCAAATCAACCTCTCCCATATTGGTGATGTCACACCCCTGTCCACTCCTGACATACAGTGCGCTGTGTGCGGAGTCGTAGCTTTACCCTCGTTAGCTTAGCGCTGGCCTTGTCTTTAGCTGCTGTAGCGTGAGTAGCGTTAGCCGCCGTGGACACAGGAAGCAGCCGCTCAGCTTCAGCTAGCAAAGACGAGGTGACGAAAGCTAACAGCGCAGCCCGGTTCACCGCACGGATCACTCCAGAAGCTAATTTCAGCCGTTAGCAAGATTTATGGGTTTGTTTATGTCCAGATAATATTCCATCTGATCCACTAAAGCAGCGACGGGGGGTATTTTAGGAAGTTTCCCACGTGTATTCATACGAGAGTCAAGGAGAGTTTATTTAGAGCGTTCTGGCAATGGAAGAAGATTAGGCCTTATCTTTGGTCATTAAACGTGATAATGAGACCGAGAAAGACCAGAGAGAGACCAGAGGGACACCGGAGAGAGCCCAAAGAGAGGCCAGAGAGAGACCAGAGAGAGAGAACAAAGAGAGACCAGAGAGAGACCACAGAGAGGCTAGAGGGAGACCAGAAAGAGACCAGAGTGAGAGACCAGAATGACACCGGAGAGAGACCAGAGAGAGGCCAGAGGGAGACCAGAGAGAGACCAGAAAGGGACCAGAGAAAGAGAGACCAGAGAGGGACCAGAGAGAGAGACCAGAGGGACACCGGAGAAAGACCAGAGAGAGACCAGAGAGAGAGGCCCCGTGCAGAGGACCATGAGGGACTCTCTTCTTGAGTTACGTTTTTGTGCCAGGTCCGAGTCTCATCGCGGCGTTAGCTCGAGACACACGCTGCTTTTATGACTCTTCTGTTACCACTGCGCTGCTAAACCAAACGCTTCTAATTTGAGGTTTCTCTGATTTACGGCTCTGTTTATTCAGAGGGGCCTCACACTTAACCCAGGGCCTCAGTGAGGAGGAGCAGACCACAGTGACCCTGGGGCCTCAGTGAGGAGGAGCAGACCACAGTGACCCTGGGGCCTCAGTGAGGAGGAGCAGACCACAGTGACCCCGGGGCCTCAGTGAGGAGGAGCAGACCACAGTGACCCTGGGGCCTCAGTGAGGAGGAGCAGGCCACAGTGATCCCGGGGCCTCAGTGAGGAGGAGCAGACCACAGTGATCCCGGGGCCTCAGTGAGGAGGAGCAGACCACAGTGACCCTGGGGCCTCAGACTCATAAATCTGAGGCGTGGAGCAGGACCAGCACGACCCACGGCGTCGTAAATGACTCTGATATTCTTTAGTCACAGGGCTGAATATAGCCACAGCCGCCGCAGCAGCCGCATCAGCCGCTGCCATTGTCCGTGTTGCTCCAGTGGAAACAGGGCGTGACATTCGCCGCATGCCGAGGGTCGCAAACTGCGGTGTCACTCACAGACTCCTGGAAACAATCTTAAGTATTATTTATGAGGCCACTGCAACAATGGACTATGACATCGCCGCGGCAACAATGACATCATCGCAGCAACAATGGACTATGACATCACAGCAGGTTTAGCCAATTAGGCATTTATGGGCCGCAATGTGGCACCTGGTATCAAAGGCTCCTCCTGCGGCTCATTATACAGAGGAGGAGGAGCAGCTGTAGGAGCAGTAGGAGCAGGAGGAGGAGCAGGAGGAGGAGAAGCTGTAGGAGCAGGATGAGAAGCAGGAGGAGCAGGAGGAGGAGCAGGATGAGAAGCAGGAGGAGCAGGAGGAGGAGCAGGAGGAGCAGGAGGAGCAGGAGGAGCAGGAGGAGGAGCAGGAGGAGCAGCAGGAGGAGGAGCAGGAGGAGGAGCAGGAGGAGCAGGAGGAGGAGGAGCAGGAGGAGCAGCAGGAGGAGCAGGAGGAGGAGCAGGAGGAGCAGGAGGAGGAGCAGGAGGAGCAGGAGGAGGAGGAGCAGGAGGAGCAGGAGGAGGAGCAGGAGGAGCAGGAGGAGCAGGATGAGAAGCAGGAGGAGCAGGAGGAGAGGAACTCAGCAAGAGGGACGTAAAGCACATGCTCAAGGAGCTCAACAAAACGAGGAAAGAAAGATTAAAATGATGAATAGAAACAGACTGTTTGAACCTGCAAAAACATAGTCAGAGAAGACGTCTGTCTCACATTTTCAGGAAGACCGTTCCAGGTTTCATCTGCACAAATGTGAAACACTGGAGCAAAGTCAAATGAGTTTCTCGTTCCTGGCTCTGTTTGCTTCAAGTTTTCACATGGAAGTCCTGGTCCTGGTCCCAGTTCTGGTCTTGGTCCTGGTCTTGGTCCTGGTCCTAGTTCTGGTCTTGGTCCTGGTCCTGGTCCTGGTCTTGGTCCTGGTCTGGGTCCTGGTCCTGGCTCTGGTCTTGGTCCTGGTCCTGGTCCAGTTTCTATTTCTGGTCTCTGTTACAGTTTCATTTCAGATCAGATTTTTCAGACAGAAACAGGAAACACAGAGGACCCCCCCCCACCTCTGCCAATCAGCTCTCAGCCCAAAGAGTCAAATAGTGCCTCACAGGGCTCTCCCCCTCCCTCCCCCCTGCTCCCCCTCTAATATAAACCCTGTCTGCTGGATGGGGTTACACAAGGAAAAGTGGAGTCTGGGGTCGCCACGGAGACGCTCACAACAGCTGCTGTGCCCTTGAGCAACGCGCTACAACTGTCTCAACAACTGGGCCACACTAATGTACACACACACACACACACACACACACACACACACACACACACACACACACACACACAGACACACAGACACACACACACACAGACACAAATACAAAGACACACAGACACACACAGACACACACAGACACACGCAACACAGGCGCCGGTCCCTCTGTAGTGTATTTTTAGCCTGCTCCGATTGTGTTTGTGTGTGTGTCTGTGTGTGTGTGTGTGTGTGTGTGTGTGTGTGTGTGTGTGTGTGTGTGTGTGTGTGTGTGTGTGTGTGTGTGTGTGTGTGTGTGTGTGTGTGTGTGTGTGTGTGTGTGTGTGTGTGTAAAGTTGTATATTTACATTCAAATACCATAGTTTAGTTTATTTACGAGGCGCCGACAGAGCGAGGGGACAGAGACAGGTGCCATAAGGAAACTTTCTTTGTGCCAAGAGAGACTAGAAAGAGACCAGAGAGAGACAAGAGAGAGAGACCAGACAGAGACCAGAGAGACACCAGAGAGAGAGACCAGAGAGAGAACAGAGAGAGACCAGTGAGAGAGCCCAGACAGAGACCAGAGAGTGATCAGAGAGAGACCAGAGAGAGAGACCAGAGAGAGACCAGAGAGAGAGACCAGAGAGAGACCAGAGAGAGACCAGAGAGAGACCAGAGAGAGAGACCAGAGAGAGACCAGAGAGAGACCAGAGAGAGACCGGAGAGTGACCAGAGAGAGACCAGAGAGTGACCAGAGAGAGACCAGAGAGAGAGACCAGAGAGAGACCAGAGAGTGACCAGAGAGTGACCAGAGAGTGACCAGAGAGAGACCAGAGAGAGACCAGAGAGCGACCAGAGAGAGACCAGACAGAGAGACCAGACAGAGACCAGAGAGAGACCAGAAAGAGTGACCAGAGAGAGACCAGAGAGAGACCAGAGAGAGACCAGAGAGAGACCAGACAGAGAGACCAAACAGAGACCAGAGAGAGACCAGAGAGAGAGACCAGAGAGAGACCAGAGAGAGACCAGAAAGAGAGACCAGACAGAGACCAGAGAGAGAGAGAGACCAGAGAGAGACCAGAGAGAGAGACCAGACAGAGACCAGAGAGAGACCAGAGAGAGACCAGAGAGAGACCAGAGAGAGAGACCAGACAGAGACCAGAGAGACACCAGAGAGAGACCAGAGAGAGACCAGAGAGAGACCAGAGAGAGAGACCAGAGAGACCAGAGAGAGACCAGAAAGTGACCAGAGAGAGACCAGAGAGAGAGACCAGAGAGAGAGACCAGAGAGAGACCAGAGAGAGACCAGAGAGAGACCAGAGAGAGACCAGAGAGAGACCAGAGAGAGACCAGAAAGAGAGACCAGACAGAGACCAGAGAGAGACCAGAGAGAGACCAGAGAGAGTCCAGAGAGAGACCAGAGAGAGACCAGAGAGAGACTAGAGTGAGACCAGACAGAGACCAGAGACAGACCAGAGAGAGACCAGACAGAGACCAGACAGAGACCAGAGAGAGACCAGAGAGAGAGACCAGACAGAGACCAGAGAGACACCAGAGAGAGACCAGAGAGAGAGACCAGAGAGAGACCAGAGAGAGAGACCAGAGAGAGACCAGAGAGAGACCAGAGAGAGAGACCAGACAGAGACCAGAGAGACAACAGAGAGAGACCAGAGAGTGACCAGAGAGAGACCAGAGAGACAGACCAGAGAGAGACCAGAGAGTGACCAGAGAGAGACCAGAGAGAGAGACCAGAGAGAGACCAGAGAGAGACCAGAGAGAGAGACCAGACAGAGACCAGAGAGACACCAGAGAGAGACCAGAGAGTGACCAGAGAGAGACCAGAGAGAGAGACCAGAGAGAGACCAGAGAGAGAGACCAGAGAGAGACCAGAGAGAGACCAGAGAGAGAGACCAGACAGAGACCAGAGAGAGACCAGAGAGAGAGACCAGACAGAGACCAGAGAGAGACCAGAAAGTGACCAGAGAGAGATCAGAGAGTGACCAGAGAGAGACCAGAGAGAGAGACCAGAGAGAGACCAGACAGAGACCAGAGAGAGACCAGAGAGAGAGACTATTTCTCTCAAACTGCAATTTCTAAAACCTAAAATGTTCGGTAACCGAGCTTTGTTTTGTTGAGTCGTGTGTGTGTGTTTGTGTGTGTGTCCATGTGTGTGTGTGTGTCCGTGTGTGTGTGCGTGTCAATGTGTGTGTGTGTGTGTGTGTGTGTGTGTGTGTGTGTGTCCATGTGTGTGTGTGTGTCCGTGTGTGTGTGCGTGTCAATGTGTGTGTATGTGTGTGTGTGTGTCCGTGTGTGTGTGTGTGTCTGTTCTCGTGCGCCTGGATTATAATCTCTTCATCCATTATTGATGAAGTGAAAGTACTCGTGGCTGAATGTGCTGCGTGGGAGATTTGTGGCTAATCCAGCACAAAACAGCCCCAGTCACATAATGAAGGAGGAGACGCACAAATGTCAACAGTAACACACAGGGACTGGATTAGAAGGCCACACACACACATACACACACACACACACACACACTGAGAGCAACAAGTGAAGCTTCCTATATTTGGGGGAATATGCTGATATGGACAGAAGTGAGACCAGAGAGAGAGACCAGAGAGAGACCAGGGAGAAACCAGAGAGAGACCAGAAAGAGACTAGGGAAAGACCAGGGAGAGACCAGAGAGAGACCAGAGAGAGACCAGAGAGAGACCAGGGAAAGACCAGGGAGAGACCAGAGAGAGACCAGAGAGAGACCAGAGAGGGACCAGGGAAAGACCAGGGAGAGACCAGAGAGAGACCAGAGAGAGACCAGAGAGAGACCAGGGAAAGACCAGGGAGAGACCAGAGAGAGACCAGAGAGAGACCATGGAAAGACCAGGGAGAGACCAGAGAGAGACCAGAGAGAGGGACTAGAGTCTTGGTCCTGTCTCTGACCCTCTCTCAGTGGCGGAGCAGGAAGGGCCTGAGGCAAGTTTAATTGTGTAGCACAGTTCATACAGAAGACAACTCAAAACCAAACAAGAAACATTAAAATCACAAAGAACTAGAATCATAAACAACCAGAGAGAGACACGGACTCTCCTGGTCCCGGGTTGATGGTGTTCTCACCAACTCGCCTCAGCCGCTCCATGGTACTTTTTTAGTTATGGCTCGGCCCCGGTTCTAACAGAGTCAATATCAACACAATCGCATCCACACACACATCATACTGAGCATGTGTTTTGTGTGTGTAGTGCCAAGTCCAGCCCAGCCCAGTCCAGTCCAGCCCAGTTCAGTCCTGCCCAGCCCAGCGCAGTCCAGTCCTGCCCAGCCAAGTCCAGCCCAGTCTAGTCCAGTCCAGTCCAGCCCAGTCCAGTCCACTGCATGTTCATGATACAAGTGATTTTCACATATTTCAATAAATGAACATTTGTGAGTAACAAGTTCAGGATCCACTGTGAGTCTGAGACTGTTCCAACTCTGAGACCATGAAGCGACTTCTCTGAGTCTGAGACTGTTCTAACTCTGAGACCATGAAGCGACTTCTCTGAGTCTGAGACTGTTCCAACTCTGAGACCATGAAGCGACTTCTCTGAGTCTGAGACTGTTCCAACTCTGAGACCATGAAGCGACTTCTCTGAGTCTGAGACTGTTCTAACTCTGAGACCATGAAGCGACTTCTCTGAGTCTGAGACTGTTCCAACTCTGAGACCATGAAGCGACTTCTCTGAGTCTGAGACTGTTCTAACTCTGAGACCATGAAGCGACTTCTCTGAGTCTGAGACTGTTCCAACTCTGAGACCATGAAGCGACTTTTCTGAGTCTGAGACTGTTCTAACTCTGAGACCATGAAGCGACTTCTCTGAGTCTGAGACTGTTCTAACTCTGAGACCATGAAGCGACTTCTCTGAGTCTGAGACTGTTCCAACTCTGAGACCATGAAGCGACTTCTCTGAGTCTGAGACTGTTCTAACTCTGAGACCATGAAGCGACTTCTCTGAGTCTGACACTGTTCTAACTCTGAGACCATGAAACGACTTCTCTGAGTCTGAGACTGTTCCAACTCTGAGACCATGAAGCGACTTCTCTGAGTCTGAGACTGTTCTAACTCTGAGACCATGAAGCGACTTCTCTGAGTCTGAGACTGTTCCAACTCTGAGACCATGAAGCGACTTCTCTGAGTCTGACACTGTTCTAACTCTGAGACCATGAAGCGACTTCTCTGAGTCTGAGACTGTTCTAACTCTGAGACCATGAAGCGACTTCTCTGAGTCTGAGACTGTTCTAACTCTGAGACCATGAAGCGACTTCTCTGAGTCTGACACTGTTCTAACTCTGAGACCATGAAGCGACTTCTCTGAGTCTGAGACTGTTCCAACTCTGAGACCATGAAGCGACCTCTCTGAGTCTGAGACTGTTCCAACTCTGAGACCATGAAGCGACTTCTCTGAGTCTGACACTGTTCTAACTCTGAGACCATGAAGCGACTTCTCTGAGTCTGAGACTGTTCCAACTCTGAGACCATGAAGCGACTTCTCTGAGTCTGAGACTGTTCCAACTCTGAGACCATGAAGCGACTTCTCTGAGTCTGAGACTGTTCCAACTCTGAGACCATGAAGCGACTTCTCTGAGTCTGAGACTGTTCCAACTCTGACACCATGAAGCGACTTCTCTGAGTCTGACACTGTTCTAACTCTGAGACCATGAAGCGACTTCTCTGAGTCTGAGACTGTTCCAACTCTGAGACCATGAAGCGACTTCTCTGAGTCTGAGACTGTTCCAACTCTGAGACCATGAAGCGACTTCTCTGAGTCTGAGACTGTTCCAACTCTGAGACCATGAAGCGACTTCTCTGAGTCTGAGACTGTTCCAACTCTGAGACCATGAAGCGACTTCTCTGAGTCTGAGACTGTTCCAACTCTGAGGTGGTATCTGGTTGTATCATGGCTTTCTTTGTATCAAGGTATCTTTAGTCTGAGTCCAGTCTAGTCCACCCTAGTCCAGTCCCGTCCATTCTAGTCCATTCAAGTCCAGTCCAGTCCAGTCCAGTCCATTCGAGTCCATTCAAGTCCATTTGAGTCCAGTCCAGTCCATTCGAGTCCAGTAGAGTCCTGCCGCAACAGGATCTGTCAATCCTCACCCTTCATCAAGCCTGATAATTTACAAGAAGGAAGCTTTCATTCGTGCATCAACCCGCCTCCTCCACCAACCAGAGAGAGACCAGAGAGAGGCCAGAGAGAGACCAGAGAGAGACCAGGGAGAGACCAGACAGAGACCAGAGAGAGACCAGAGAGAGACCAGGGAGAGACCAGAGAGAGACCAGGGAGAGACCAGGGAGAGACCAGAGAGAGACCTGAGAGAGACCAGGGAGAGACCAGAGAAAGACCAGAGAGAGACCAGGGAGAGACCAGAGAGAGACCAGAGAGAGACCAGGGAGAGACCAGAGAAAGACCAGAGAGAGAGACCAGAGAGAGACCAGGGAGAGACCAGAGAGAGACCAGAGAGAGACCAGAGAGAGACCAGGGAGAGACCAGAGAGAGACCAGAGAGAGACCAGAGAGAGACCAGGGAGAGACCAGAGAGAGACCAGAGAGAGACCAGGGAGAGACCAGAGAGAGACCAGAGAGAGACCAGAGAGAGACCAGGGAGAGACCAGAGAGAGACCAGGAAGAGACCAGAGAGAGACCAGAGAGAGACCAGAGAGAGACCAGAGAGAGACCAGGGAGAGACCAGGGAGAAACCAGAGAGAGACCAGAGAGAGACCAGAGAGACCAGAGAGAGACCAGAGAGAGACCAGGGAGAGACCAGGGAGATACCAGAGAGAGACCAGGGAGAGACCAGAGAGAGACCAGAGAGAGACCAGAGAGAGACCAGAGAGACCAGAGAGAGACCAGAGAGACCAGAGAGACCAGAGAGAGACCAGGGAGAGACCAGAGAGATACCAGAGAGAGACCAGAGAGAGACCAGAGAGAGACCAGAGAGAGACCAGAGAGATACCAGAGAGAGATCAGGGAGAGACCAGAGAGAGACCAGGGAGAGACCAGAGAGATACCAGAGAGAGGCCAGAGAGAGACCAGAGAGAGACCAGAGAGATACCAGAGAGAGACCAGGGAGAGACCAGAGAGAGACCAGGGAGAGACCAGAGAGAGACCAGGGAGAGACCAGAGAGAGACCAAGGAGAGACCAGGGAGAAACCAGAGAGAGACCAGACAGAGAGACCAGACAGAGACCAGAGAGACCAGAGAGAGACCAGAGAGAGACCAGGGAGAGACTAGAGAGAGACCAGAGAGAGACCAGGGAGAGACCAGAGAGATACCAGAGAGATACCAGAGAGAGACCAGAGAGAGACCAGAGAGAGACCAGAGAGAGACCAGAGAGATACCAGAGAGAGATCAGGGAGAGACCAGAGAGAGACCAGGGAGAGACCAGAGAGATACCAGAGAGAGACCAGAGAGAGGCCAGAGAGAGACCAGAGAGATACCAGAGAGAGACCAGGGAGAGACCAGAGAGAGACCAGGGAGAGACCAGAGAGAGACCAGAGAGAGACCAGAGAGAGACCAGAGATGGACCAGAGAGAGACCAGAGAGAGACCAGAGAGACCAGGGAGAGACAAGAGAGATACCAGAGAGAGACCAGAGAGAGGCCAGAGAGATACCAGAGAGAGATCAGGGAGAGACCAGAGAGAGACCAGGGAGAGACCAGAGAGATACCAGAGAGAGACCAGAGAGAGGCCAGAGAGAGACCAGAGAGATACCAGAGAGAGACCAGGGAGAGACCAGAGAGAGACCAGGGAGAGACCAGAGAGAGACCAGAGATGGACCAGAGAGAGGCCAGAGAGAGACCAGAGAGATACCAGAGAGAGACCAGGGAGAGACCAGAGAGAGACCAGGGAGAGACCAGAGAGAGACCAGAGAGAGACCAGAGAGAGACCAGAGATGGACCAGAGAGAGACCAGAGAGAGACCAGTGAGAGAGACCAGAGAGAGACCAGAGAGAGACCAGAGAGAGACCAGAGAGAGACCAGAGAGAGACCAGAGATGGACCAGAGAGAGACCAGAGAGAGACCAGAGAGACCAGAGAGAGACCAGAGACACCAGAGAGAGACCAAAGAGAGACCGGAGAGAGACAAGCTGGAGACAGCCGTTGTGGACTACGACCTGTCCCAGTGGATCCTGGACTACCTCACAGACAGACCCCAGTTTGTGAGAACCAGGGACTTTGTGTCTGAGGTCCTGACCTGCAGTGTGGGGGCCCCCCAGGGGACTTCAGACACAACACGGTCGGTTGTGTCCTCCAGAAGTTCTCCAACGACTCTGCCATCATCGGACTCAGCTCCGAGGACGATGACACAGAGTACAGAGGAGTTATACAGGACTTTGTGGACGAGAAAGACCAAGGAGATGAACCACCTCCTCATCAACAGAAGACCAAGGAGGTGAACCACCTCCTCATCAACAGAAGACCAAGGAGATGAACCACCTCCTCATCAACAGAAGACCAAGGAGATGAACCACCTCCTCATCAACAGAAGACCAAGGAGATGAACCACCTCCTCATCAACAGAAGACCAAGGAGATGAACCACCTCCTCATCAACAGAAGACCAAGGAGATGAACCACCTCCTCATCAACAGAAGACCAAGGAGATGAACCACCTTCTCATCAACAGAAGACCAAGGAGATGAACCACCTCCTCATCAACAGAAGACCAAGGAGATGAACCACCTCCTCATCAACAGAAGACCAAGGAGAAGAACCACCTCCTCATCAACAGATGACCAAGGAGAAGAACCACCTCCTCATCAACAGAAGACCAAGGAGATGAACCACCTCCTCATCAACAGAAGACCAAGGAGATGAACCACCTTCTCATCAACAGAAGGCCAAGGAGAAGAACCACCTCCTCATCAACGTGAGGAAGACCAAGGAGATGAACCACCTCCTCATCAACGCGGGGAAGACTAAGGAGATGAACCACCTCCTCATCAACGCGGGGAAGACTAAGGAGATGAACCACCTCCTCATCAACGTGAGGAAGACCAAGGAGATGGTGGTGGTTTTCCGCAGACGTCACTCTGCCGCTCCAGCTCCAGTGAACATCCAGGGAAAGGACATCGAGAGAGTGGACTCTTACAAGTACCTGGGTGTTCATCTGAACCACAAACTGGACTGGAGTCATAACACAGACGCCCTCTTCAAGAAGGGCCAGAGCCGCCTCTACCTGCTGAGGAGGCTCAGGTCTTTTGGAGTGCAGGGGCCACTCCTGAAGACCTTCTATGACTCTGTGGTGGAGCCTCTTGTACGGTGTGGTCTGCTGGAACAGCAGCATCACAGAGAGGGACAGGAAGAAGCTGGACAAGGTTATCAGGAAGTCCAGCTCAGTCCTGGGCTGTTCCCTGGACACAGTGCAGCAGGTGGGGGACAGGAGGGTCCTGAGCAAACTAACATCTATGCTGGACCATGACTGTCGCCCCCTGCAGGACACTCTCTCTGCTCTGGAGAGCAGCTTCAGTGACAGACTAATTCACCCTCGCTGTGTGAAGGAGAGGTTTGACAGGTCCTTCTTCCCTGCTGCTGTCAGACTGTACAACGAGAATGTGCAACAGGAACTGCTAATCAGTCACTGATAGTTCACTATAACTTTGTCACTAGTCACTTTACCTGTTATCAGTACTACTGTATTATTACAGATCTGATAATTCTGCCTTTCACCGTCACTTTACCTGTGATATTTTTTACGATGCTTATTCTGCTCATATTCATATTCTCCGCTGCTAAAGTACAATATATACATCTGTAAATACTCCTGAACCAAGTGCAGTTATAGCCCAAAGTTTATTTTATTCTTATCTTAATTTTATTGTCTATTGTCTTAAACAATAGACTATTTGATGTGTGCAATCTGAGTGCTCTTATGTCCTCTCTCTGCTGTAATGTGCAACGATGACACTGACATTTCTCCACTGTGAGACTAATAAAGGTTTATCTTATCTCAGAGAGAGAGAGAGACCAGAGAGAGAGAGCAGAGAGAGAGACCAGGGAGAGAGACCAGAGAGAGAGAGCAGAGAGAGAGACCAGAGAGAGAGCAGAGAGAGACCAGAGAGAGAGACCAGAGAGAGAGACCAGGGAGAGAGAGCAGAGAGAGAGCAGAGAGAGAGACCAGAGAGAGACCAGGGAGAGAGAGCAGAGAGAGAGAGACCAGAGAGAGAGACCAGAGAGAGAGACCAGAGAGAGAGCAGAGAGAGACCAGAGAGAGAGACCAGAGAGAGAGACCAGAGAGAGAGACCAGAGAGAGAGACCAGGTAGAGAGACCAGGGAGCGAGAGCAGAGAGAGAGCAGAGAGAGAGCAGAGAGAGAGAGCAGAGAGAGACCAGAGAGAGACCAGGGAGAGAGAGCAGAGAGAGAGCAGAGAGAGAGACCAGAGAGAGACCAGGGAGAGAGAGCAGAGAGAGAGACCAGAGAGAGAAACCAGAGAGAGAGCAGAGAGAGACCAGAGAGAGAGACCAGAGAGAGAGACCAGGTAGAGAGAGCAGAGAGAGAGCAGAGAGAGAGCAGAGAGAGAGAGAGCAGAGAGAGACCAGAGAGAGACCAGGGAGAGAGAGCAGAGAGAGAGCAGAGAGAGAGCAGAGAGAGAGCAGAGAGAGAGAGCAGAGAGAGACCAGAGAGACACACACACACTCTCTCCCTGTGTGAGTTTTGGATCAGGTGTGTCACCTGCTGATAGACCCAGTGTGAGTTCATTTCCTTCATAACTTGAACCAAAACAGCGTCATGTGGTGAGAACAAAACGCTTCCAGACTTTCCCCGAGAGCAGTACGGCCTCTGGTTTCTCCCTGGTCCCCCTCTCTCTCTTCTCTCTCTGTCTCTCTCTCTGTCTTTGTCTCTCTC